TCACCTTTCTACCCAGGGAAGTCGTGTATTTAAGCAGACAGTTTCACTCAATTTAATGCGACAGCAGTGTCCAGCTTTCTCGCACTGTTCAACAGAAGCTTTCGCTAGAATCCTCGACCAGCATGCGGTTTGTCGAATTTGGAATTTCGGAGCAGGAACCGGACCCTTCTGGAAAGTTCAAAAACGTCGTCAGAGCCATCGGGGCTGATAGGGCCTTGCTTAACTTACGTGCTCAGCCGAGCATACTCACTATAACTGGCAGTCATACAGCTTACCAGCAGGCCATCAGAGCCCTCCACGAACGTGTAGATGCGTCCGTCCTCCCTACGAGTTGTCCGGTTTGCTTCAACGTCCCCACGGAGCCGCACTTCACCAGCTGTGGCCATTGCTACTGCCACGAGTGCTTCAAGGCCCAGGTCCAAGCCACTGGGACTGGCAATATTCTGTTCCGCTGCAGCGAACAAGGCTGCGGGCACGTCCTCACTCTCACGGAGCTGCGCCGTGCGATTTCACACGAGGAATTCGAGCAGCTTTTGCAAGCGTCGGCGCGCAGCCACGTCAACTCAAGGCCGCAGGCACTGTTCTTCTGCCCCACGCAGGGCTGCCCGCAGCTTCACACCGTCCTGGAGCCCGCCGACGACTTCACCACCACTTCTCCCTCCGCCTGGCACTGCCCAGAGTGCCTTGTCCTGCTCTGCATGGCGTGCAAGGTGCCGTTTCACTCCGGCAAGACCTGCAAGGAGGCTGAGGGAGCGAGGAACGCCGGGCTCAAGGAGTGGATGAAAAAGGCTGGTGCTGTGCCCTGCCCTGCTTGCGGCATCGGCATCGAGCGGGATGGCGGCTGCATGCGCGTGCAGTGCACTAACTGCGGTAAGCACGTTTGCTTTAGGTGCTTTCGCGCCTTTGACAGCGCCATCACGTGCTACTCCCACGTAGAAGAGGGTGAGGTGGCTGAGAGGGAGGCCCGGGAGTTGGACGAGAACTTCCGCTAGTGAGGACCTGGCTGGCATGAGTCCAGGTTGGACGTGGGTGAGGTGGCGTGTCACTGCGCCACCCTTTTCCGACCTAGGGCAAGTGAAGTTGGGCAGTGGAAGCTGGGCGGCGGGTTTGTATTTGTAGAGACTTTCTTTCCTCATCTTGCGTATGTAGAATATCATACCCCTTTCTTGCGTTTCTGGATGCATCTGTTCTTAATGACCTCAAGTGACTCTCGGTGAAGCCAGCAAGCTGAAAGGCATGTATGGTTGAAATGAGTTTTGAGGGGCTAGCATATGAAACGTTTCCTTGCCTTTGAACCGGTTCTTATCCCCTCACCAAAAATTATCAACCAGTCCTTACAAGAATAGTTCGAACATGACAATTCGTAGATATATATACAGGCAAGAGTACATTGTTATCAACACACCCCCCATTAGCATATCCCAACGGAATAATCACAAGGGATTTTCCCCTTTGTGTGTACTATTGCCTTACAGCTATTATATGACCGGTGACGAGAAACCAGAAAAGTTTCCAACTTGCCAGGCACGAAACAGTGTTCCTGGCCAGCATTATCCAGAATGGGAATATCGACAACATCCCTTGGGAAGGGGTGTATCCGCCCCTTAACCCACTACACATGATCCAACCTAACGAACTCCGCCCAATGCAAATGCGTCCCCCTCAGTGTCATCCATCCAAGCATACCAGGGCTCCGCCCATATCTAAACCATGCGAGAAAAAGTACCAGCGCCCATAACCTAAAACGTCTCATCCTCCTCCTCGGGCAACTCTCGCGGGACCTTGTCTCTCAGCCACCTCATGACCTCTTCTGTGCCTTTCCGCAGAATTGTATAGTTCGGGATGCGGAACGTGTTGCCTTCAAGCTCCAGACTTCGTAATCCCTGGTCCCACAGCAGGCCAATCTCCGGCGGCACGCGGCCGATGCTGTTGTTGCTGAGATTGACGGCCTTCAGGCCACTCAATGCCTCGGCTGAGATTTCTTCAATAGAGTTGTCGGAGACGAGAAGTGTTGCGAGCTCCGGATAGAAGGATAATAGTGTAGGAAGCGCACCGGAAAGACGGTTAGCGGTCAAGTCGAGGTGTTGCAAGCGTGGAGCAATAAGATAGGAAACCAGGCTGTCGAAGGAGATGATGCCGTTGCCCAAGAGGCGCAACTCGCGCAAGGAGGGGAGCTCAATGGATCCGGCAAAGGCCGTACTTAGGCAGTTATGTGATAGGTCGAGCATCGTAATACCACTGGCTAGCGACACTGTTGCGGGTATGGACGTGAACTTGTTGTGATGCAGAACCAGCTGGCGGGTCTTATCGGCGACTTCGGCGAGATTTCCTCCATCCAATTCAGTGAGCCCTTTCGATGACAGATCAAGAATTCCAGAGCCTCTGAGTGTCCAGGTACTTCCCTTTTGGATGGCACCATTCGTTTCATCCTCTCTGACAGATCCTGGGGATGTGACTCCATCATCATGGCCTGCTGGGGCGATGCGTGACTTGAGAATAAACTTTAAGTCTCCAGTACCCATCGTCAAGAACTTCCGCTCGCTCAGTGGATTCGCGGCCAGGTTGAGCACCTCAAGCCTTTCCATTAAGCCAACCTCCGGTTCGATCTTGACAATGTTATTGCCACTCAAATTGGCGCGCCTAAGAGTTCCCAGTGTCTTGAATCCCTGCGGAAATTCAGAGAGCTTGTTTTCCTCAGCAAGAAATGTCATGAGCCGTGCCCACTCAGTCATGTCTGGCAAATGCTCCAATCGGTTGATGGCGACATTTAGAGTCCTCAACTCCGGCAGAGCTATTCTGTTGTCGCTCAACGCAGTGAGTGCATTCCCAGAAACATCGAGAATTTGCAGTCGTGGCATTTTCGAGACGGTGGCGGGGAAGAGCGTGCCGCGGAGCGCGTTTTTAGATGCGACTAGTTCCACCAAGGGCATTAAATGCAGGACATCCATCGGCAAGGAAGAAAGCTGGTTTTTGGCCACGTTGAGAACGCGGAGATTGGAGAGCAACCGTAAATCGTAAGGCAAGTGATTGATCTTGTTGCCCTGTAACTCCAAGACTTCCAAGTTCTCCAAGAGCCCAATGGTATCCGGGAAGGGACCTTCGAATTCGTTGTCGGCTAGCTTTAGCTCACGTAGACCGGATATTTGCGAAATTACTTCTAGCGAACTGTTGTCGAGCTGGTTGCGTGTCAAGTTTAGGACAGATAGGTTTTCAAGTCGTCTCATCCCAATGGGCAGCTGTTTCAGAATATTACCATGAAGGTCTAGCATCTCAACACCGCCAAATTGGTTCGGACTAGCATCAAAGTCCTCGGATGCTTCCAATGGATCAACATCCGGGAAAAGGTCATCCGGAAGCCTCTCGATCTCATTGTCGGCAGCAATAAACCGAGTCAGATCAACTGTTTCGGCCCAAGTGGAAACCGAGTTATTAGGATCGTACTCATACATCGTCATTACCTGTTGGGGTATTTCTGTCAAGCCCATATTTGCAAGGTTTAGACGGCCCTCTGATCGTGCCGTAGCCACCCGGTTTTTGATGACAGCTTCACCTCCCTTCGGCATTTGATTGAAAGGATCCTCCTCATATGATTCCAACGCGGCATCTCCAATTGGAATATCATTCCTCGGTTCAGCTTGCTTGTTCGTGGCAGCCTTCTTGCGCGCCGCCTTTGCCTTGGCGATCTGCTCCCGTAGTGCAGACGAAGAACTGGGCGCCTTGGACGTTTGGTCATCGGCAGGCGCCGCTGCAGCTGCCTTGGGCCTCTTTACACTAGTCAAAGCTCTCTTCATGGTTCCAGTCTCTCCGGCAGTTTGTTCCCCAAAGGCGCTATCCAGGACCGGCCGGGTTTTTGGTATTTTCCTCATCGTTGCATCGTCGCTTCCGTCCTGCGGCATCTTCGAGAGCCTGCTAGACGGGCTCTTAAGGAGTTCTTCTTGGGGCTCTTGATCCTCCGTGGGCGATGCGCTCGACTCACTGCGGGAAAATTCAGCAGGAGACCGAGGCGCAGCACTCGCACTCCTCTGTGGTGTGGGTGCCAAGTTTTTCCCTACGAAGGAAGTGCGGCTAGCCGGACGCGCTGCACTAGCCGCTCGAGTCTGGCCATATCCGCTGCTAGGCGGGCCCATGGTAGGCGTTGTTGGTCGCTGCGATGCACTTCTGTACATTCCCGTACGCGATGGGGGCCTCGTACTGTTCCGAGAATCAGGCCGTGATCTGCTCATAGCAGAGGCAGGTCTCGAAGGCCCTCTAGGGCTCGCAGGGCCGCCAAAGAAGCTGGATGAGCGCGAGCCGCTTGGCGAAGTTGGAAGGATATGCGACAGGCTTTCAACTGCGCGTTCGGATAGCGACGACTGGGAGAACTTGCGCGACTTGGTGCCACTATGTTCTTGTATAAAGTTAGAATCGAGTGGATTGTGGAGAGCGTCGGGCGCTTACGGGAAAGGACATCGTCGTCATCGACGCCAAAATCCGACTCGTCGTCCCTGAAGCCCTGCCTGGACATGGAAGAGACGCGGAAGCCATCCAGATCGCCCAGCGTGTCATCTTCGGTCTCGGCGTTCACGGTTAAGTTGCCATTGACGGGGCGAACGATGCGAGAGCGGGCCTGGCGGGACTCAGGGCGCGGTAGCGGCTTCTTGAAGCCATAGGTTTCCTTGGCGGGCGAGGTTATGCGACTAGGTGGGCGGATGCCCGACGGTGCGGGGATAGAGGGCTTGCTGCGCGGCTTTGGCGGGGTGGGAATGGCCGAAAGTTTTGGCTGGGGAAGCTTGGAGGGCCGCGGAAGACTGGAGGGGCGCGGGATGGCCGAAGGCGGGCGCGGGATCCTCGAGGACGACGAGTCCATGATTGCCGGACAGATTAGGGATGGTTCGGGAGTCAAGCAGCTGGGGAAAAGGTCAAGGAGGAGGGTCGAGCGTCCTCTTGGCCAGTGTTTTGTCGGCTCGTCGCCCCTGACAACCGTCATGACGGAGTTTCCCAAGTCTCCCGCCGCCCTCGTTTCATCGCCAAGGCCCCGCGCGCGCATCGCATCCCTCCGCTCCCCACAGCTGTCCAGCTGTTTGAACAACTCTCTCCCTCCCACACCCTAACTATCTCTCAATGGATAGCCGCACAGCGCACGCCCAGGACCTGCTTGCCATCGCGCAGGCTGACGTCCTGCATCAGCATCATCATCATCACCATCACCAACCCGCATCGTCGCAAGACAGCAACACCAACACCGCGTCGCGCAAGTACACCTCGCCCGATCCCTCATCGTCCGTCTCCATGACTCCGCCGCCGTCGTCGCAGGTCCTGCCTGCTCCGCTGAGTCGCGCCTCTGCGCGCACGCCTACTCCCTCTACCTCCCAGCTGTCCTCGCCCCCACCGACATCCCGCGTCAATTCGCAGGCGTCGCTGCCTACGTCGTCTATCAGCCTCGATCAGATCAACGGTGCCACCGAGGAAGAGCTGCGAGACATGGCCAGCGAGCTGTTGGCAACCCTGCGCGAAGTGCGTACTAGAGCCGCGCACCACAAGCTGCAATACAACATGCTTTGCATCGATAGCGCAGAAGCGAACAATCGGATGGCCGTCGAGTTGGCAATGGCGCAGCGCGAGGTTGACGTCTTGCAGCAAGCCGAGGAGCGGCGGCGCAGTGACATCACGCCTCCCGCCCCAGCTCACGCAGAACCAGTTGTCACTCCTGCTAATGCCGCGCTGATGAACGAGATGAGCCGCCATATGCAAATCTTACAGAACGAAAATGAAGAGCTTCGGGGGATGTTGGAGCATTCCCAGCGCACGACCGAACGCCGCGAAGGCGAGATCGCCAACCTAGTTGAGGAGAACGAACGTTTGCGCGGGCGCATTCGGAAGAATCGTGATCATCTCAACGGGATGCTGGGCGACGTGTACGAATCCCAGTCGCCTACCTCAGTAATGGCCGCACCGCGCTACCCCACGACGCCACGCAGCAGAAATCGAGGAAATCATCTAGGCGACACGTCTGCCCACGGACAACAACCTTTTGAAGCTTTGCTCCTTGCAGACAAGATGTTGAATGAGAAGAATGCCACCGCACCGACTACACCTACTAGGAACATGCCACCAAGAACCCATTTAGGCCTGTCTCGTAGCGCAAACTCTGGCTCATCTATGCCCAACACGCCTAACTATTCAACACGGCCAGCCCAGACCACCAGAGGCGTACTTCGTACTCCGCCAAGATCGCACTACAACCCTGCCCAAACTTCTTACACAGCACCTGCGAATAATCACAGCAAAGCGCGCTATCGGAGGAACACCGACTCCACAGTCACTGCACCCTCCTTAGTGGAAGATGCCATGATGATTCCCTTGAAAGAATCCCAGGCCACAGAGCCCTACGCCAGCCAAATAGCGTCAGATCTGCTCCGTCACGTGCCACAACAGCATGGCGGGCAACTGCCAGGCGGCTCAGCGCATCAGAGTCAGAGAGCTGGCGCAAGTAGCGCACAATTACAAAGCAAGCTCTTTGGCCAGGTCAAGAAGCCGGGCGTGAGCAGGCCGTCGGAGAGCGATAAGAGAAGCCTTTCGGGCGTCGACGACAAGCCGCAATTGTCTCCGGCCAAAAGAAGCCGTATAGAGACGGATGTAGGATTGGGAATCGGTGATTTGGGCGCAGAGCCCGGCGCAAGGAGGATATAAGGCCTTTTATTGCCGTGCAGTCTCCATCTCAGCTTTACGATTGACGAAACTACACGGCGCGTGGGCAGGTTCGAGGGTTATCTTCTGCGCTGGCGCTTGACTTTGATATCATGGACTTTGGGAATCTGGGAATTTGGGACTTTGGGATTTGGGAACTTGGAAAGCAGGGAATTTGCTTCAATACCTTTTTGTGTTAGTAATTGTGACAATTAGAGGAAAAAGCGTAGGAGTAGAGTAGTAGTATCGAGTAGGTAGCAAAAGAAAGCGGCTGGAGCCAAGGCGCTAGGCCTAACCGAGACAGCTGTACACGCCCATCAATCGCTCCTCCCAAACCCTATCAAAGCTCGCTGGAGAGAGATCAGCCCGCCAGCTCCCCCGCAACCATGAGAGCAACTCTGCGCGCGCCATGGCTGCCCATAGTCATCGCTGCGCTGCTTCTGCTCGCCGCGGCCCCGGCGCTCGCCTCGCTGGGAGACCGGCTACCAGACTTTAAGGACTGTGTCAAGGTATGTTGGTTAAGTTGCGGCGCCCTTCCGCAAAAGAAGAAAATGCCATGCGAGACACGGACAAGCAAGCTGACGGCGCCGCACAGGTCTGCATCGACGCCAATTGCGAAGGGCCGGACAAGACCCCCATCCGTACCGCACCCTCCCCCTCCGCGCCGCAGCGCTCACAACAGGACGCCCGCTAACGGCCAGCCGCGCCCCGCGGCCACACAAACAGCGCTCCAGCACCGGTTGCTCTTCTGGACCTGCCCGGCCGAGTGCGACTACACCTGCCAGCACGTGGTGACGGACAAGCGGCTGGCGCGCGACCCGCCGTACCGGGAGCCCGTGGTGCAGTTCCACGGCAAGTGGCCCTTCTACCGCTTCCTGGGCATGCAGGAGCCCTTCAGCGTCGTCTTCTCGCTGCTCAACTTCCTCGCCCACGACTGGGGCATGGCCCGCGTCCGCGACACCATGCCCCCCGAGTACCCGCTCCGCAAGTACTACCTCCTCTTCGGCTACTTTGGCCTCAACAGCTGGATCTGGAGCATGATCTTCCACACCCGCGACTTCGCCTTCACCGAGAAGATGGACTACTTCGGCGCCGGCGCCAGCGTCATGTACGGCCTCTACTACACCCCCATCCGCATCTTCCGCCTTGACCGCCCCGACCCCAACATCCGCTCGCTGCGCCGCGCCTGGACCCTCCTCTGCATCCTGCTCTACCTCGCCCATGTCACCTACCTCTCCCTCTGGTCCTGGGACTACACCTACAACATGGCTGCCAACGTCGCCGCCGGCATCGTCCAGAACCTGCTCTGGTCCTGGTTCTCCATCACGCGCTACCGCCGCCTCAAGCGCACTTGGGCCGCTTGGCCCGGTCTTATCGTCGCGTGGCTCATCATGGCCATGAGCCTCGAGCTGCTCGACTTCCCGCCTTGGCGCGGCATGGTGGATGCCCATGCCCTGTGGCATCTGGGCACCGTCGTGCCGACGGTCTGGTGGTATAGGTAAGCTCTCCTTTGCAAAATGACAATCTGGAACACCAGAAATTGCGATCAAAGTCGTTTGATTGTGGCTGACGAGGAATGTAGCTTCTTGGTCAAGGACGCGGAAGAAGACATGCATGGCGCGAGGCTAAAGGCATGAGCCTAAAAACGTGAGCATGCAACACGCGCCCGCCCCTTTACCCTAAGAGTTTTAGACACGGAGGACGAGAGTCCGCCAAGCCCGCGTAGCTGCGCTTGCAATGAGTGGAAAACATGTTCAAATCATCGATGCCCTCCCTCCCTACTTTAGACGTCAAAGAGGTTTTCAAACTTCATATGAACCTAGTGTACAATCTACTGCATCCCGCGTGCTATGATGTGTTTCGCGAAAAGGGAAGGGGATATCCATTTTGCCATCTGCGCGCGAACTTTGCTGAAAAGAAAACGAAAAACGGACGTATGCTCAAGCCGGAACAACGCGAGCTGAACGAGCCGAAGTTGGAGGAAGAAAAACAACACGAGAAGAAGGGAAGCGGAAAATTGGTTGGAAAAAGTAGCGAATACCTTGGCCGCTGATAATACGACGGATCGACTATCAAAGCCAGCATGCTTGTCCAGTCAAGGAACTACGCCTCCTCGATAAATCCAAGCGCGGTTCACGTCGCCAAAATCCCATGCCACGGCCGTCTTGACTGAAACGCGTGTTCTTTGATCATCGGGTATTGTCCCGAACGACCGGCCCACCTAGTACTGCCTCTGTTAAACTGCGACTAGACCAGATGTGGTTGACAGCCGCAGGAATGGAACACCCATTTGTACCTGACGCTTGACGCGGGCAGCTCCATGCCGGCTGCTAACCATGAGGTGCAATCTCGTAGTTCCATATTGTGGCTTATGTTGGTACAGGATTTCGCCGATCGATGATCACTAGGCTTCCCGACTGTACGCCGTACGCAATAGACGATGACCTCCGGAAAGAGATGTCGTGCATGTCGTGTCTTATTTCGAAAGGGTGTTCAGTCTGTTTGGGGGCGATCTTCTCATTGCCAGTGGGTTGGGTTACTCATGAAACCTTCCTCAAGGGTGCGGTCCTCCAGGGTGCGAATGAAATCACGGTTGCGGCGACCAGCAGTAGTCGTTCGGCTGTCGCGCCTGCGACCATTGTTTGCATCCGGAGCTCCTTCAGGCGGAGGTGGGTAGTAGGCGGGGCTAGGTTGGAGCCTGACCGGCGCATTCGGGTCGAGGTGGCTCATGACACGCTGCAAGGCCGGCGGGATGCCATTTTGCTGTTGGTCAATCGTCGATGCCCTCTGTCTACCGGCTCTCGTCGTGGCCTGAGCGTATAGGTTTTGTTGTGGCTGGTAGCGAGGGGCCTGTTGCTGTTGTTGCTGCTGTTGGACAAGACCCATCTGTTGACCGTAGGCAGCAGCAGCCTGTGCCGGATATGGTGGTGGAGCAACCTGGTGGCTGGGACTGTACACATTGTTGTATACGGCCGGGTTCTGGGCGTGCGGCGTCTGCGCATACGGCGAGTTCATCTGCATGTTTGCATAGGCCGCGCTCTGGGCCTGTTGCTGTGCAGCTGCCTGTGCTGCACGCTGCTTGCTCAGAGCCTCAGCCTTTTGCTGCTCTTGGACACCTGGAGCTGGCGACCTGCTGGTACCGGACCTCATCATCATAGGAGGTACAAACGGACCAGTGAACTTGGCTTGGGTGATGAACGGGTGCATCTTGGCTTGGTTGGGCGTCCATCGCTCGAGAGGGTTCAGGTTCAACAATCCCTGTGCGAAATCGATGAAAGCAGTGCGATTGGCCATTTCTATACCGGGTCAATACATCAATTGGAACGGTCAATAATAGGGAGCAAAACAAACCTCGCTCAATCTCCGCTGGTTTCATATTCTTTCTCGGCATGGGGTAATTCTTGATGATCTCTGGGAGTGTCGTGGCAGAGAAGTACTTCTTGCTTGGCTGCTCCTTTGAGCCATGCTCACGCGAGTATTGCTCCATACTCTTCAAGCGGTACGACCGGCGACCGAACTCGTCGTGCGCTTTCTCGAAGAATTCACCGGATTGCTTTCCCATTTCCAGCATCCATGTTGGAGGAAGACCAAGCATCTCGGTTATCCGTGAGACCTGGTTGTACTCAGATGACCCCGGGAACAACGGCAGCCCGAGGAAAAGTTCGACAACGATGCAGCCCAATGACCACATATCGATGGCAGCAGAGTACCTGTAAATGATGAGTTGGGCAACCTCAACGACAGGACGTTTGTACTTACGGCAGTCCGAGAAGGACTTCAGGTGAGCGATAGAATCTAGACTGGATGTACGTGTAAACCGTCTGTCGTTCATCGCAGGCGGAACCGAAGTCGATGATCTTGATGATCGGACTCTCCAGACTAACATATGGTCAGCAAAAGCATAAAAGAGCATTTTCGCAGATGATTACTTTTTGAGTAGGATATTCTCAGGCTTCAGATCGCAATGAATCAACTTTGCTTTTCCGAGCAGAGCTAAACCATTAAGCAATTGCTGTGCAAACACACGGACCAAGGTTGTGCTCAAGCCACGGAACTGGTTCTGTTTGATCAGCTCATACAAATTGACGCTGAGCAGTTCGAAGACAAGGCAAAGATGCTGTCGGTGGATAAAAGTATCCTTGAGCCGCAACAGGTGATGATCGTCGTTCTTGTCCATTTGTTTGTTCAACTGTGCAATTGTTAGCGCGCATCTCCTACAACCCGCAAAAACGGGATACATACCAAATCGAGGACCGAAACCTCCATCATACTCTGGTTGAAATAGGCTGTCCGATTCTTGACAACCTTGACCGCAACGACTTCCTGAGTTCGGAGGTTTTGGCATTTCACGACCTGACCAAATGTACCCTGACCGAGAACATCCAAAATGAGGTAACGGTTCCTATTGGGCCAGACAATCAATACCAAAAATTCTAGCACCAAAACAGAAGGCGAAACTCACTTGTGACCCGACTCCTCAGAACCCAAAATGTCGTTGACGTAAAGAATGTAATCGCTGTCTTCATTGTCATAGCCATCGTTCTTGACGCCTTTGCTCGGCTTCGTGAGTACTCTGCGGGGGTTCCTCGAGGACTCGTACTTGAAAGCCGGGTTGCATATCCGGTATGTCGCGGGCAGATGCGAGGTCAATGCTTGCAGAGGCTAGAGGAAAACAAGATCAATAACATCCTGCTGGGATTATTCCGTGGTCGCAACTCACGCTTATGAAGCCTCCCTCGGGGTTTGCCCTTCTGAACGGCGGTTGCTCGTTGATGCGTGGATGCAAGTCTCCGGTATTCAAACACTTGGTGAAAGTCGGTACCTGGCCACGAGAAGCTTGCGGCGACATAGGGGTTTGCGACGCGGGGTTGCGCGGCGATCTAGCCTCGCGCCCGTATACAGCGTTGAGTTGCGCGGTGGCAGATTGCGGATAGAAGTGGTCGGAGTTCAAGTTCGACTGGATCGGTGGCAGTTGAGGCGGGTGCGCGCGAGAGGCTAGTGACGCAGTTAGCGACCATAGGGGACGGTGTCACAAATAGAACTTCGTACAAGGCGGAGAGTAGTAAGGAGGCGACATGTATGGGTTTGAGCGCGTCGGAGACTGACGACTGGATTGCGTCTGCGGAGAGAAGTTGCTGTACCCACTCGAGCTCTGTTGCTGGGAGCTTGGGCCGTAAGGCGACGAGGGAGACATGTTCATGGGCGAGTAGCGTCGCGCGGCTGCTGAAGCCTCTTCGTTTTGAAGGAATTGTGTGGAGCTGCGGTTGGGCTGGCCGGTTCGAACCGTGGCGTACTTTGGCTTGTATGGGTCCGCGTCCTCCATGGGTACGTCACCGTCGCCGTCGCCCGTGTGGTAACTCTGGCTCCGCGTCGGTTGGCCCGGCGGCGATGTTATGGCCATGGAAGCAGCCCGCGACGAGATCGAGGGCGTCTGGTAAGGGTCTTGTTTGGCGTAGGGCTCGGTCTTGATGTAAGAGTCTCTTCTTGTTGTCGCAGGCGCGGTCGGATCTCTTTGCGGATGTTGCGGCGAAGAGAGATTGTGAGGAGCGTAACGCGTGTGGCGGGCAGAGGGCGGACTTTCGGTAAATGAAGCCCACTGTGAGTCCATAGCAAAGAGCAGAGGGGAGGGGAGGTGGAGTGGTGATGGCAGGCTTCAGGTGCGCATAGGTCCCGAGCCGGATGCCGCGGTGATGGCCCGCCCCTCGTGGAGCTTCGAGGCAGATGGCCGGGGCACTTCTCTGCTCGCAATTGCTCGGCCTCGCAAGACACGTGGTGGGTGCGGATGCGTCAATCCTGGGGTCTGGTCGTGCACGGCAGCGATAAAGATAGTGATAGGTATTATTGCGGGCTGGGCCAGCGGGAGGGCGACAGGACGAGCAGTCGCGGGCAGGGCAGTGCCGTCGCCGGACGAGGGTGGCGGGATGCGGGATGCGGGACGAAGGACAAGAGGGTGCGCGCTGAGGTGGTGCGGCAGTGGTTGGGTATGAGTGAGTGATGTTAGGTCTCGACTGCGCGCCGGGGGGCTGAAGCAACTGGAGCAACAAGACAAGTCAAGTCCAACCCAGCCAACGCTTCCAAACGGCTCGCCAACCTAAAGCGCCCAAGCCGGGCGCACGTCATCGCTTTGGGCAAGGCAGCGTAAGCTCGCCGTTCCCAGGCCAAAATGCAACACAAAGCGCCCCCGGCTTGCCGCCCATATAATAGATGCCCTGCCGTGACACGCCTCTTCATGCGGGTCATTCCACTCGCATGCGGAGAGCGAGTCCGTCTCAAAACATGATCGCACGCCCAGCAAATTGCCAATTTCCGTCCGAATGCTGCTTCCCCCAACCAGCTAAGTAATGCCAATTCCACCACTAACCACCTACGATTACGAGCCGCCCGACAATCATTGGGGAAGGAAAAGTACGAGGCGCCTTTCATTTTGAATGGCAGCGTGGGCGCTTAGCCCGCGCAACCACCACCACCCACGCTCCCGTATACACTTTATCTTCATCTGAATCTGGTAGCTCAGCCCCCACTCTCCGCAGCCCATCATTCACATCCACACTGCATCTGGCAACCTTTGAAACACCCTCCTCCAGGTAGCTCTGCAGTCAAAAGCCTTGTGACGCAACGGGGTCAGTGCGGAGTGGGGACGCCGCGACTGCTCGACATTCCATGGCACCACGCACCGGTCAGCAGCAGGAGCAGGAGCAGATAGGTGAATACAAAACAACCACGAGGCCACCCTTCTATATATCCACCGTATTACATATCCCCCCCAAAGACAAGCAAGCCACGCCACGCTATCCATGCCATGCCAGGTATCAATCTCCATCCACCTCCACAAAAACAAATCAAAGCAAAGCAACTCCACGTCGCCGTCCTGATGCTGCCCGTATCAACCGTCAAGCTAGTGGAGCCCTGGAGCAAATGAACTATAAGAACGAAAACTAAAAAGGACACCCGTTGACCCCCTGCGCAAAATGTACTGTACTCTCTGCACCGTAATGCCTGTTCGCCGTGCCAAGCAACAAACGCCCAAAGAACAGAGAAGGGGTTTCCGGTCGATCCATGCGAAACCGTGTTCTCTCACGATCACCCGCCCATCCTGCTCTAGCTGCGGCCCCCAGTCATCAAACCTACCAGAAGCTGCACCAACCGATGTAGTGTTGGCACAAGTTCTCCAAATTGGTCGCCTCCCGGATTAACCTGTCTACTTGCGCATTGACGTTCAGCTCTTCGTTTGCCTTGAAGTCGCGGCCAGTGAGCTTTTGCTTGACGCGCGAAAGAACCTGCAGAGCGCGTGCATTTTGCTCCTCTCTGGCCTCTGGGTCACCCGGTGGGACAATGCTGGAACGGTGTCGGGGGCGGAAAGAACTCTGGACACCATCGCCACCTTCAAGCCCGATAAGGGAGTTGCGTCGCTCGGACTGGAAGGAAGGCTCAGGAGGCGAGTCGCGGCTGCCAAGACGCCAGTTGAGGAGTGGATCGTGTATGAACTGCAAACGAAATAAATCAATATCTGATAAGGGAGGGCATTACGAAAGGGGGAAAGAACTTACGGCTTCAAGGACGGCCATGACAGACTCCTTGTTGCTCCTGAGTACACGCATGACATGCTCGCATGTGGTGCGGTAGCTTCCTTCGATGTTGCTGACTTCCATGGCGTACGTCAACATACGAGTAAGACGGAAAGGTACCCGTTCCGGGTACTTCTCGCGGTGCATGGCCACTTCGAAACAATCACCGAAATCAATGTGGATAATCTTGCCCGTAACCTTGTCCAGCATAAGGTTGGACGGGTGACGGTCACCCAGACCCAAGATGTAGCCAACCATTGACATGACAGCGAGAGACCGAGTGTAGTTGGTACGACGGTCAAGCCAGGCTTCGGAGCTCTTGCTCTTAAGCCACAAAACACGATACAAGTCTTGACCTGTTGTGTTGTCCAGGGCGTAGCCGAATACTTCGACCTTTTGCATCAAGGTGAGACAATCGTAGTCAGGAGCCATCTGTAACATGATCCTATGCTCAATGTTGAGCAGAATCTTCCGACTCTCACGATACTCGCGGATGAGGACGTGCAGCGTGTCGCTGTTGGGAACCCATCCAAGCAGACCGGATTGAGTCGACAACGGAATAGCCGGATAACGTTGGATATTGAGGTGGCGTTTTCGGCTCTCGGCATCGTTTGCAAGCAAGGTGTTGACCAAACCGAAAAGTTGCATAACACGCTCGTCTTGACGGATGTCTTCGTGACCCTTGAGAACGTACATGTAGTTCATACCGTCGCTTCCCTTGAGATGCAGCTTCCGAGGCCGCTGCTTGGACTGGATGACTGTTGAAACAGGGTCGAAAGACTGTATGCGAATGACAGGCTTGCCACTCATGTACGTACCAGGTAATGCAAGGTCGAGATCGTGGACAGCCTTCAACTTGGGAGACACGTATTGCAGCTCCAAAGTCATCAGTGACGGTAATTGTCGGGCAATCTTGCGGAAAACTTGGTAGTAAAGATCCCAAGCCTGGTTCAAGTCGCCTTCTTCGCCAGAGTTGCGGAAGGTCTGACACCAGTCGCGAGCTTCCTGGAGCTCACGCCCGAAGGACTGGATGAAGGAAACTTCTCGTAAAGTCTCCGGCCCCTTGTCGAGCATGGCATGCAATGGCGCAAGAGTGGCAAACATGCCTTCGATATTGCGGTCGCCAAAGTACAGCCTAGAAGCTTCTTCCAGACCCTCATGCCACTGTTCATGCCAGAGCACAGCAATACGGATAAGTTCGTGACTGACCAAGTCAGCCTGGTCAACAAGCCTGGGTGAGTGCTGACGCATGGCATCCATGAGTGCGGTCGCCGAACGGGACCGACGCGAGACGTCGGACTTCATCGAGACAGTCAGAGGGAAAACCAGAGCCTGGGGATGAGCACGCCCGACTTCAGACAGAAGGTTGTGGATTGATTGCCGGACTCTGACATTAGGTTGATTGATGCGAGCCAAGAGTTGTGGGATAACCTCGAGCCAAGTATCGATGCTGACTGTCCCAACACCCTCCGTAACAGCGGTACTGACTTCTGGGTGGCCGCCATGAGCGAACCATAACGTGAGAAGACGGAGCGTGTCTTGAAGCGAACTTGTGGAAGACAAGGAGATAGACTTGAAAAAGCCATGAATAGCCGGCACTATATGCTCATGGACCGCGCTGTGATTTATATCCGGCATCGACCGGTCGGGCTGAGATGTCATCGCATTAATGACTTCGAAGTTTGCCAAAGCCCAAGCATGCCAGGCCTTGTACCAATTGGCGTTGTATCGGGTCGCAGCCTGGTAAGATGATAGGACATCATGCACATGATCGTGATGCCAATCGCCGTGGTGCAAGTGAGTCATCCACTCTCCCTGTTTGAGGTAGCATTTCGCAAGGAGTTTTTGCGTCTCCGCAATGTCGATAGGCGGCGGTTGGTTTGCATTGGTGCCATTGGGTATCCCGTTAGCCCCATGCATCATCTGGTTCATCTGCGCCATGCCGCCTATACCGTTGACGCCGTTCATGCCATTCATGCCGTGGATGCCGTTGGTGTTCGGCATGCTGCTTGCTTCACGCGCCCTCATTTGTAACTCGTCGGCAACTCGCCCTGTGAAGTCCTTGAGAAGGTCGAGTGCTTCTTCTTGGCGATCAGAAGACCACATGAATTTGAATACGGCGTATGAGATGGGATGGGGTATCTTGCCGGTATTCGTCCTGACATGAGTGAAGATGTCTTCGTGGGTACCGCCGAGTAGGGAGCGCAGAGATTTTTCAGCAAGCCCGACTCTCTGGTTCTTGCGGCAGAGGTTTGTGAACTTGATCCACATATGCATGTTGTCTCTGGGAGAAATGACCAATGCCCGGACCTTGAGCATCCTTTGCCAGACATCAGGATTTGGTTGGCACCCACGAAGCCTCTTCGTCCAGGTGTGGCGCATACTCGATTGCTTTTCTGGGTTGCTCTTGTTTTGTTTGTAGGTAATGATTTCCTCAAGCTCAGCAAGCATTTGAACGCGCACCAAGGGCAAGTAGGCTCGTTGGTATGACTCTCCGAAGACAGCACTCAGCTGGGTGTCTAGGCCATCTCGAGCCTTGGAGATGTGCTTCTGCGCCTCTTCGAATTGGTTGCGGTGAATTGCAAGAATGGCGCCAAAGAAAGACCAGTCGGGTGATGAAGACTTCATGACAGAAAGATAATTGTCCATGAGCTCCCACTGGCCAAGTCCCCAGGCAGCAGCTGCAGCTAGTGGCGCAATTGTCCTGCGGTACTCTTGTGGAGCGTGGACCCATTTGTCCTGAGCAAGCGTGGATAGGACATCCCATTCGCCGAGCGCATGTAGACATTTCATTTTACCCATTGTGATTTCGAAGGAATCTGGCTCGTCTTTTTCGCGCCTTTGGTAGGATTTCAAAGCCTCTTCCCACTTCTCTAGTTTTTCAAACCAAGTTTCTTTCAACTCCACATCTTGGTAGTTCTGGGCCTTGCGCAGGATACCAAAGGCTGCATCGGTTTGTTGCAGCTGATTGTTGATGCTGATCAGTGCCTCAACAGCTCTAGCATTCTGCTCTGCGTTGAATTCGAGCTCTTTGTAATGCAACGCTTTCGCGTAAGCATGGCACCTGGCGGCGTACATACCCAAGGTACGGACATCTATCGGAAGAGCCTTGTCATCATGCTCCATGAACTCGGCCAGGTTGAGAAGAATTTGGAGAATTTCCGGTGGAATGTTCGGTGAAGCAAGAGCTATTTCGATGGAACGAACCAGCTCCTCTTGATACTGGTCGTATAGTTCTGTCCAACAAGAGACAAAAGCCGAGTTGAAAAGGCTCTTGGCGATCGGGTTGTATACGCTAGCCAATGGGGTGCATGCCCGAAGAGCTTGTTGAGGAGATTCACGAAGAAGCTCAACGCTGAAGCGTCTCATCCACTCAATCCAATCTTCACGAGTGGTTTTCTGAGTTGCATCCCAAGCATTCTTCAGATGCTGCTGGTTAACCGCGAGCTTTTTGGTCGAGATCTCCGTGGCATTGATGTCCTCATCATCATCGCCGTATCTCTCGTCGGGGCTGAGGTCTTGAGGCAGAGGCTCCCCTCTTTGGAGTTTCGAAACGATAAGCGCATAGTTACCATGCGGTACCTTGTGCGTGAAAAGGATTTTGTTGATTGTCGGAATGAAGTGGATGTAGTCAGGTCCGAGTTGGAAAATCAAAGCTGATAACGTATCAAGTGCGGTCTGCTTTAGCGGGGTATCGTTTCCAGCCAGGACTCGGGAAAGAGGGTGTATGATCATAGCCGAAAATTCAGAAATGTTAACCTGGCGAGACAGTCGACCTAGGGTCTCAATAGCCGATTTACGCAGGCCGTGAGGTTGTCCGGGTTTGTCGAACATGCGAACAATGACCGGAATGATGAGATGCATGTACTCTTCGGCGCTGGATCCGAATATGAGAAAGGCATGGAGCACTCTTTCCGATGGCAAACGCTTGACAGATGTATCTTGGTCCAAGACGCCCAACATCAATGGCAGAATACTAGCCAGATAAATCTTGAACTCTCCCTCCAGCGAGCGCGCTATTGCCTCAATGAGGGATAGGATCGTTGCTTGTAGCTGCGTTCCACCACTCCAGTATTCTTGCACAGTCTCTAGGATTTGTTGCAAGAAGGGTCGAATGTGCTGGCGAACAATCTTCACGAGTTGACTCAACTGATTAAAGTAACCTTCAACCCGCCCAGCCGGAGCACCTCGAATGACACCTAGGAAGCCAGAGACCACCTGAGGAAGGAAAGGTACGCACTTCAAGCCCATGGTGGCGTAAATGTTCATAACAGCATCAACAACAGCTGAATGGTATTGAGAGAGTGAGTTGTCCTTCAAGAGCCCCATCAAGGTATTGATGACGACTGTCGGATAGAACTCTTCGTTTGAAGGCGTAATGCCGCTCATGATCAAGGAAACATCCGTAACCGCTTGCGCCTCTGCCATTAGGGTATGTTCAGGAGACTTCTCGACGATCTTCTGGTATTCATCCGGGTTCAAGGCACCGAGGACGCCCATGAGTTTAACCGTTTCCTTGCGCAAATTATTCGCGGGCTCCGTCCTGACAATGTTGATGAGTATCGGGAGCAATTCCGAGTGCTCCTTGTAGGGCTCAATGACGTAGCCTGAGTTAGCAGCCAATTGACTCAACGTGATTAAAGCAGCCATGCGCTTAGACTCTGAGCTGAGATCTTGGAGATTCTCGATGATGATTTCCATGAGGGCTGGAATGTACCGCCGCATGTCCTCACCGCCTACGGAAGCAAGGTCGCCAATAGCCTTCAAGGTTGATGAAGCGACCTCTGGGTTTGCGTCTCGGGCTTTTGGAAGTAGTACAGTAACAATCGGGTCGACGTATGGCTTGATAAGCTGAGAGGAAGACGACACCATATTGCTGATGAGTTTCGCACTTTCTTCTTTGTCCCGTGCGCTATTCGAATACTCCACTTCTGTCAGGAGCTGCACCAAAACTTTACGAAGCGAAGGGAAGACGTAGGCCGGGTTGACCAATGTCAAACGACCAATTATAGACATTGCCGCTTCCCGGATCTCGAAAATTTCATCGTTAAGCGCCAAGAAAAGGCTTCGCACATTCTCAGCCTTGCCGAGATGCCTGTCGAAACGGTAGTCGAGTGACCTTAAGACAGTATGGCGAATATCCGGGTCGACGTCAGCAACGCCCGTAGTGAGCAGCTTCTCGATAACATCGCTGACTACTTGTATGGCATGTTGACTTGTCTGAGTGACAATTGGATCGGTAATGAAGAGCTGACATGCCGTAAGTGCGGCAGCTTTCCGGATTTCCCTGTTGTCTGCTTCAACGTATTTGATGGCGACATCTCTTACAAATTCATTTAATGTCTGGCCTTGGAAGTTGAAGTCACCAAGCGTTTTCAGAGCCAAAGCGATTTCGGCTTCCCTGTGCTTGATGTATTGCGGATCCTTGGAGTCTCGCGTCCATATTTGCGGAGGAGGAGCGTTGCTGTATTGCGGGCTACCCATAGGCACAAATGGTCTACCGCAAAGAACCTGGCTCAAGAGGTCCAAAAGACGTTCTTGAATTGCTTCCCTACTGGACGGAACGTAGTGAGCCATGTCGACAAGGCACTGGGTGAGAGGGTCGCTTAAACCACATGAGAATATGGGGTCAAGGAGCGTGTCGACGTGTTTGCTGAGCGCCTGTTCAACGGCGATTGACAACATGCTTAGACATTCGAAGATTGCGGCCTCTTCTGGTCCTCGATAGCGCGTTTTGCGTAGCAGGGTAGTCCTTATTACGCCTAAGGTGCCGTCGATGTACTTTCCAAAGTGGCTGCCTACTGCGCCGGCGACTTTTCCAATGACAATAAAGGCAGTGCTGCGATCTTTGCTATCATCCTTGAGGAGGCCCTGGAGATGAAGCATGCAGGTGTGGAGATAGTTTTGTGAGAATTCGTTCGGCGAGTATGCTGCGAGGAGAGGTATCGTAACGATGACTTCCTGCTTAATCAAGAGGTCGCGGGAATCTTTGTATCGCAGTACATTGTTGCAAGCTTCAATGTAGCGTGGGCCATGCATGAACATGGCTCCTCTTTTCAACAACTCTTTCATCGCGAGAATCGAGCCATGGATAGACTCTACAGTATTGATTGCGAAGCCGTGGAGCACTTCCTCGTAGACCTGGGAAAACCAATGCGTTTTCATGCTGGCATCGCGGGCAGAGATTATCTCAAGACACGCGCTAACGGCTTCAGCCGCTGCCTGACGTATCCGAACCTTTGGATCTCGCAAGGCCATCCATATAACCTCAAATATCTGAGGAACCCATTGGTACATCAGTGTTGGGGAGTTCTTCGCCAGTTCCCTAAGGTTGGACACTGCAGCAAAGCGGCGGTTCTCCTGTCGGTCCATTTGAAGCCACTCAAGGGCACTCTTGACTTCGGCTTCAACAAGCTCCGCAGTAAGCGTTCCGCCAGGCTTTGCCAGCCTGCCCAGGGCATGTGAGGCCGCATCGATAGCGGCATTGTCATTTCCTTGGGATATCGCGCGGAGGTAGCTAGCGAACCGAGTAGTTTTCTGGCCGGCGTCGTCGCCTTTGAAGTCGATCAATTGGTTGAGCGCTTGAATACCACCTAGTCGTTCATTGGTCTCGTTGCCTTGAACGACAAGGCCGTTGATACGGTTGCACACGCGATCATAATAGTTTGCGAATTGTCCGGGCGGTAGTTCTGCGCGCCGCGTGTTATTAACCCTGTCGGTTGGGAGTGAAGCTTAGAGCGCACTACTGACCTCTGTGGGCAGCCTCCAGAGTCTGTCGCAAGGATTTGGCGGCATTTTCCCGGACCTCGACATTTCTGAAAGCATCAATACCGGAGATTGCAGTAGTAAGGCGGTGCGGAACCTACCGCGACTTGAGCTCGCTGAACAGCCGCTCCACGGTTTCCGGCGTCGCTGCCATTTTGGCGGGGCCAGCGGCCGTTCAGTTGAGGGTGGACGAGGAAAGCGCTGCCATAGAAGGACAGCGGGGAGAAAGAAATCGGAGGTAGAGAGGGGTGTCCTGAGAAGGTAGGGGAGAGGCGAGTTTAGGAGCGCGCGGCGAGCTGTTGTCTTGGGCGTTGAAGCTCGAGCGTCGGTCCGCCGTCATGTGCGGGACGGGCCCGACACCGACGGGAAATCTTCGGCTTTAGTGGCACCAGCTACGGGAGGTTGAAAGGCACATGGTAAATTATCGAGCCAAAGATCGAGGGGCACGTAGAGCACGTTGTACTTGTGACTACAAGGTGAGATTCCTATCCCTCGCGTTGTTGTGCTTCGGTTATTGGTGGGTGTCAGGGGACACCAAACACATGCACATATTTGCTAAGATTGAAAGTCCATGATAGATTTAAAGTAGTTGGTTCAAGAACAAGCACTGGAACGGTCTCCGTGCTTGCTGCACGAGATAGCTTACCCCTAGTCTGAGTCTGCAAACATATCCTCCGCTCTCGGGCGCCTCCTACGAGCCTTGGCCGCTTCAGTCTCACCGACCGTTGCACCTTTATCTTGTGCTTCAGCCTGAGTCAGATGAGCTTGGTGTGCTGCTGCCTTTTCTTCTCTCGGTTCACCGCCAGTGTCTTTCTCCATTGGCTCACCGTCAAAGTCCTTCATGGACTCACCATCGACGTCAGCCATAGGTTCACCATCAACGTCAGCCATCGGCTCTCCATCCACATCCTCCATAGGTTCTCCATCCAGATTACTCTCGACCATCGGATCCCCGTCAGGTTGTTCATTCGCGTCGGTAGCTGGCGCAGAAGCTGACTGGTTTTCTTCTCTGGCCTCTGCCACATCCAGAGTCTTCCACTTGGGTTTCGTTTCAGTGTTACTGCTTCCTTGTTCCACTTGCTCCGTGACCTTCTTCTCTTCCTCGGTCATGGGTGAGTTGTTGAAGGCCTCGATAAATCGAGCTTGTGCGTCTGAGGGGAATACATTCTGTTTTTCCCACATTGACAGGATGTTGTTTATGGTGCTTTTCCATCTTTCAGCCCGAAGCCGACCCCACTGCATATCTCTGTCAAGTCTGCCCAAGTGCTCAAAGACCTTGCGCTTCTTGAACGCTGATTCAAACCACTCTCGATAGCGCCATGCTTGGCGGACGCCACATGTACCGCAAGATGCGAACACGTCGCCAATAAGATATAAACCAATCTTTTTGGCGTCCGAAGGGTCTTCCTTTTCAGCCTTCTTCTCTACCCCGTCATCACGGTCCATCTTTTCGGCCTCTTCTTCGTTTTTTTGTCTGTCCGGATTGGCGCCACTCAACGCAAATGGTTTCTCAATGTTCGAAATGAGCATATGGACGATCTCTTCGGCTCCTTTGTCAGCGTGGCTGATTGCAAATGATGAAACCCGTGCGACGTCTCCTCTGCGAAGTTTTCCCGCACTAGTTGGAAGGCGAGCCAACATGTGGACGAGTTTTGCCTTCTGGAGTGGATTGAGGTACGACTTCCGGGCCTGATCTATGTCTATTCCGCTCTCAGGGGGCGCTTTGGAAGCGTTGTGTTGGCGCCGTTTGTTTTCATCATCGGATAAATCGTCTTCTGACGAATAGTCAGGGTCCGAGACGAGCTCTTCGAATTTGGTAGTGAATTCGAATGGCGGGCGCTCTTCTGGCCCAAGCCAGGGTGCGCCGCCCTCGAAAATCTGTTGTGCAGGATTGGCAAAATGGTTTCGTCGTCTCGGGGCTCTGTCTGAACCAGTGATAACCTCCCAGAGCCTCCACCTATACCAGACAGCTCCTTGACTACACGGATTCCACAACCATTGCCATTTTTGATCACGCTGGATGTCCGGTCTAGCCATCAACAGAGCCTCAAACTCCGGACCGTAAGTTAGGATACCTTCAAGTGTCTTGTTGATAAGTTTGAGCTGTTTGATATCTGATGGCGGTTTGACCAGAACTTGTGTCGGTGCAGGCGCTCTTCCGAAAGCCGACGACGATCCAGGCGCATAAGAGGAAGGAGGAGGTGCGCGACTAAGGCCATGGCTCACCGCTGGAGCCACAACCTTTGCGCCAAACGGATGCGATGATGAGATGGAGCTAGGTAGAGCTGCTGTAGGTGCACCGAGTGCTGCAGACGAGAGATGCCGTGAGATTGACAACTTAAATCCCCATCCCAGATAACGCTTATCGAGCGCATTGACTACCGCATCAATTTCTTTTGCTGGAGTATCCGTTGCAAGGGTGACAATAGCTGTATTCGATCTTCTGTCCGTAGAAGTCAATTCGGGGGTTAGACGAACCGATTCGACAACCAAATTAGAAGGTATCATCCTCCTTATATCTGCCTGTGTCATGGTAGGAGGCAGTGAGGTCAAGCGCATGGTAGGCTTAGGAGCAGCTCTCTCTGCGCTCTTTGATCCGTTATCCGCATCTTCGTCGTCCGATGTTTGGAAGGCTGTTGCAGCATCTAATGGCGCCGCAGAAGCATTCTTCAGGGCAAAGATCCCCTGGTCCTCGTCCTCGAACGGCCGTTTCCTAGTGAGCGAAGAGGGTGGCTGTCCCAGAGTTCCAGGTCCGCTGTTGCCTCGAGGTCCAGTGGGTGGGAAGTGTCGTCGCGCACCGCCTCCAAGGGCTCCTCTCACACCGCCGGTAGGCCCCATTCTTCCGCCAGTTCCTGAGCTTGGAAGTGTATCATTGCCACCTCCGTGCTCCTTCAAAAGTTCTTCGAGCGCAGCTTGCGATTCGGCCTCTTCGCGCAGGCGCTTTGCCTCAGCTTCTTCCCTTTGACGTTCCCAGAGCGATTTTTTAGTTGGCGCGCTGAGCTTATCAGTGATATCAGGAAATCCTCTTATGTTCTGTTCTTTTGACATACTTTCTGAGGGGTGCTGGGATTGTTGGAGTCTTGGTATGAGTGAGGAGGGCGCCGCCCTGCCTGCCTGTCGCTGCGGGTGACGCTCGTCCCGAAGAAGCCCCGAATATCTTATCTACACGTGAGCCCGCGTCGACGCGTAGAAATTCCCAATCATGCATTGAGCCGCACTGCATCTTCTTTTCCAGGCTCTGTATCCTTGTTGGCAAGTCATTTCTTGTAATTCGGGCGAAATTTGCTTGTATAACCACATTGTTTCCGACAAAAGCCTTGCAAAACACGTCTCCAGCATACAGTGCATAGAAAAATATTCGTTGTTTCATGGCGTTCTAAGTATTATTCCGTAGACCTAGCAACATAGTGATAGATCTTGCTCAGGTCATCTATGACGTCTTCATCTCTATCTCCAACTTCTCCACTAGAGCCGTTTTCAAGGAACTTCCGCCTCGTAATCTTCTTCCACCCTGCGTCTCTGGCGGGAATGTGTTCCCTCTCAATCCTGTCTAGGTGGCCCTCCCTGTCGATGAGCAATGCATCCCATCCCGCAGCCTCAGAACCCACCACGTCCTTCGCAAACTCATCCCCGACATAAAGCATCTGCCAGCTGTCTTCCGGCGACCGTGTGCCGCTCTCATCCACAACACTGAAGCGCTGCAGCAACATCTCTCTAGCCGCATCAAAGATGCCTCTATGCGGCTTCTCGTATCCGCAATCATAGCTGGTGAGGACAAAATCGACATCATTGTCCTCAGGCTTGGCGGGATGTGCGCGTGCAGGCGGCGGGGGCATTGGCTCACCATAAATACCATGGCCGACGCGCAGATCGAAGGAGCGCAGAATACCGGCAACCCGGTCGTCAGAATTTGTCACGACGCCTATGACGGTGCGGTCGAATTTCCAGGCATTTTGTTGCTGCCGTTGCTGCTGCTGCTGCTGCTGCTGCTGCTGCTGCTTCATTTCTCGGAACATCTTGAAGATCGGAACCACGTCTGGGTACAAATCATAACCTTCGCGTGATGCGAAGTGTGTCAGGAGATCAGGAATGAGACGTTTTGGTAGGGTTTGACCCTCTGAGAGGAAGGGCTTGAAGGTGCCGGTTATGACCTGAGTGCGTCAGTTGGACGTTATTGCATTCAGACGGTGGAGCAGCCAAGGCCGGGCCATCTGCCTGCCGTTGTTTACGGAAATGATCGCCCGGATGGTTGAAATAGGAAAGCAGTATTTTCAGTAAGATGGAAACTTGTTTTGGTGGATGTGTGAATTTCAAAGAGAGATAGAATGGGATACCCAATAGAGGGGGGGGGAAATGAAGGTTAAAAAATAAGGATTGTACTTACGTGTCCCCACCAAACTGTCGGGTCCCATCCAACCGCTTTGCCATAGTTCGGTGCCTCTTTCGATCTATTCTTGAAAGCTTGAAACCAAGGATCTCAGCTTACATGCTCTCATAGGTTTGAGTGCCCGCGTTCTTGGCGCCTCCCTGATACGCTTCCTCGTTGACAAGGAAGAAGCATAGGGAATATGAAAAAAGACAACAGGAAGGCATTTCTACTTACATTTTCCAAATGCTCTCATAATATCATCGTCTGACACCTCTTTGCAAATGCCATGTTTGCGCGCGATCGCGCCGTACTGTTGTCCAATGGGTAGTTTCGGCGTGAACAGGGTTCCAAACGCGTCGAAGGCTATGAAGAGGTTCTTCTTAGCCGCTCTTCCACCCGACATGATAATGCGACGGTTCCTCCCTTGGCTCAGGGGATGTTGTTGTAGTTGAAAGAGTGCAGGGATATATGCATATTTCATGTAGGTGTTCTGATGCGGTCACGTGTCGTGACTCAAGCCAGATCTTTCACATGCTGATCTTAGCCGTGCCATCATGAGATACGCGAGTTGTTTAATTAACGCGATCACGAGAGATCCGGTGACATGATGGCCAGATATGCGCTCAGTTTGCAGGAAAGAACTTTCGATGGAATAATCCTACAACAGACCTAATGCTCACCCTAACCCATGCTCAATGCTTGCCAGCGGAACACCCCAAACCCCTTTCCTGTTACAAAACCCACAGCCCGATGATGCGAAATGATGACCTTTTTCAGGTGGTATCGACCAAAAAACCCCATTCCTGGAAACGACCCACCCATCCAGTAAACCCATTGCATAATCCAGGAGAAGCGAAAGAGATGAACCCGCATGTAAACAACAAACTAGTTGAAAGAGTGAAACAAATTAGAAGTTAATCAGAGTGGTCCGAGCCCTGGTCTGTATGCTTCTTGTAAAAAGCACATGTGCCCAGAGTACGTGCACCATGTCTCCCCTTCTAACGAGAAATTCTAGGATGCTTTTAGAGCCCCTGGCACCGTCTTTTTTGTGAGAAAAGTCGAAAAGCCCTGGACCGTAACATCGTAAAGGCCGTAACCGTATGAGATGTGCCATTTTGGAGGTGGCCATATCACACTGCCAATGTAGACATGTTGTCCTTCGGTGAAAACCTACAGAAATGAAAGCGCTTCGCAGCAATTGCAGCAAATCGAATCTTTTTTTCTTTTTTTCTTTTTTAGCGGCGGCGAGAAGAAAAACCAGCAACTTGACCAGACTTCCTGGCTAATGGACTGCCTCGGCCCATTGTCTTGCTCTCGGACTTCTTCTTCCGCATTGGCGTGATGATGGCATCGGCAGATGCGCCTGTGCGGACAGGACGCGAGGCAGAAGCACGCATGGCGGGATCGTCGGGCAGACGTGCAACATCACGATAGCGGTTCTGATTCCTCCTGAAAGAGGTGACGACGCCACGATCGAAATGCTGCAACATGTTCCGGCTCATCTCTTGAGCAGCAGATAGCCCTGACGGTCTAGCGGGAGTGTGCCCGGCATTTACCGTGGTAGGCGAATTGCCAGCTGTAGGAACATCCGTTTCGTCATCACCCTCATCGGTCTCGCCCTCACCGAAATCGATGAAGTCGTGGACGTCGAGCAGGTTTTCGCCTTCGTCCATTTCATCCTCATCATACTCATCGTCCGCAACGATGGTGCCGTCAAGTTGCACATCAACGAAGGGGAAGAAAGCCTCTGGAGGACCAATGGGAAAGTTGTTTCCTCCAAATGCACCGGAGACACCGCTCAACATGATGTCGACCAAGTTGCGGTTTGTACCATCGCTGAAGTCGCTCTCTTCGCCATTGAGCATTTGGAACGAACTCCTGGGGCTGTTGTTGGCAGTGCTGCTCGCAGTACTGCCCGGCCACAGTGGGTTCTCCTTGTCCGGGGTACGCGCAGGCAGCAATACCATGCGTGTGCCGGTGCTATCCACGAAAGCAATGGGGCGCTTCGGGTCAAGCGTAAAAAAGCCCCTAACGGGGCCATTGCGCTTATTTGACCGTGCCTTCTTGTTTCGTGGGAAAGGTTTGGGGGTGGCGGTACTGGTACTAGCAGAAGACTCTGAGTCACGGTGTACGCGCGACGGTTTGCTAATGGTTGGCGGTGGAGGTAACTCCTCATCGGTCGTGTCACCTTCGTCGGCTATGAGCAGTCAGTCAGCTTTTCACGTGGACGCAAAACAAGGCAAGTGCGACCATACTTTCATAGCCACTAGAGCCGGCCTCTGAGTCAGATTCTGACTCCGACTCTGTGTGGACATCGTGGTCGCGCCACTCGCCAGGTTTTTCGTCTCCGAAATCCCAGTACGACTTCTCGCTGTCGCTTGCAGTAGATCCTTCGAAGTAACCTGCCTCATCCAATACACCATCGGGGTGGAAGTTCGCACTTGTCAGAAGCTGGCTTTCCCGATGGAAGAGGTCAGGGAAGAAACTGTTGAGGTCTTCCGAGGATGTGTCGCTGTCAACATCCGAGACAGCGTGCACATGGTCATCGAAACGCACGCGCCTCGTTGAAGTGTTTGATTGGACAGGGGCAATCTCTTCCATGCCACGCCAGTGGTCCGAAGAGAGGCCGAGCAAGTTGTCGTCCATGGTGTGCATAGTGAGATAGTCATCCCGGAATAGGCTGTTGTTGTCGAGAAGCAAGGACATGTCTGGACCGTCGCCCTCCTCACTTTCGTTGTCAGAGAGTTCGAAGTCTTTCTTGAGCATTCTTTCCTCGGCCGCCTCAGAGAGGACCTCGTCATTGTCAGACTCGTCGATCTCCGCAACTTTGTTGTAGATCTCATCGTCGTCAGAGGTCTCTTCAACGGCACTGGGGGCTGTGCCACCCAAGGCGCCTTCTTCAGAAGCTATGCTATCCTTGCGGGCATCCTCGTATGCCATCATGCCATTGCTTGCATTGCTGAGACGTCTTACCATCTTCTTGCGAGGATAGCAGGACGACCCTTGCCCTTCATCATCATTGAATGCTTCCTCTTCATCATCTACAGTAGTGAAGATACTGGCATCACGCTTCTTAGAGGAAGCAGTCGAGAGGGACTCCGAGCCCAGCACTGTTCCGCTGTTCTCCGATCCTTTCTTAGCAGACTTTTCGCAGATAGCAGGCCTTTTGCCTATGCCAATGCCGAATCCGTTGGTTGGGGTTGCCTTCTTTGACGAATCTTTTCCATCTGCTTCGTCGGGATTGTTGTCTTCTTCTTCTTCTTCATCATCGCCTTGGTCATCGTCGGAAGTAGCCCCTTGATTACGTTGCCCTTTTGCGCCGGAAATGCTGTTGTTGGATTTCTGCCGATTTTGTAGGCAATTGCCTGTGATCGTAGCTTCACTGTTGAAATCGGTTGACACACTCGTATCGGGGGAAACACCGGCTGTTTTGCGAGCCTCAATGGTAGCCATGTTGAATAGTTGCGGAGGCGATCGATTGATTCTCTTGGCTATGAAGCTGATTTTGGCGGAGGATCCAAGGAGGAAGATGGAGTAGTGAAGCGTTGGTAAGAAGGGGAAAACGAGAGAATGGGAGGGGCAGGGTTCGAGGTAGCCTTCGTCAAAGGACGAGTGGTTCTGGTTTTGTGTTGTTCTGTGGGACTCGAGAGCCAATGGGTTGGCCGAGGTCGAGTCTGCAAGATTCGTCGGGTCCGAAGGGATAGCGGACGTGAAATGCGCGGATGTCGAAAGACTGGGAGACCAGGGTGAAGCTCGTGGCCGGGTCCTTTTCCGATTGCAAGCAGACAGTGCTTTGGGCAATCGGGAGTGAAGTTATCGTCGTGGAGTCTTGAATTCTCGGTGGGCTGCCGGACTGGAGAGCGCTCATCGCACGAGCGCCCTCCAGTGGGGGATTTACAGCTCAGCGACAGCCTGCGGCATTGTTACTCGACGAATGTAGCGATGGTGTAAGATACGGATGTCCTCTTGGGATAAGTAGGGCGACTTCGTTGTCTGGGCGGGCGATTGCGTAGCGGGAGGAGAGGAAGAAGAGGGACAGGAAGGCGTGGTGGTAGAAGCTTTTGAGAGGCGGCCACCCCCGGTCGGCGCTAAGCAGGGATGGCAAGCGGTAGGCCTCCAGCCGGCAAGGCGACGTGGTTCACAGTAGATCCAAGACCGGGATGGCCTGCAGCAGAGTGGCATCTGCATCTGACCTGGCCATTTCGGGCCCATCATGAGCCGTGTCATCATGAGCCGTTGCGCTAGATGAGAAAAAAAGCTCCAAACCCACCGCGGGCCAAGCCCAAATCTCTGCACCTCCGCGCCAATCAGCGCCCGCTGACTCTTCTACGCCGTCCCCCCCGACCTCATGCTGCTGCACATGCAAGACTCGGACTCATCAGCTTCAGCACGCCTCCTTCCACCACTTCGGCCTTGTCTGGGGAAACATGGAGCCATCATCGTCCTACCGAACCGGCGCTAAGCCTCGCAGCATCGCCCCCGCTCCATCCAACGGCCTGCGCTCCTGGAAGCGGCTCGCTTGAATGGGCGGTGTGAGCGACCCTGCATTCACGCGCTGGTCTAGAGACATCACTTTTGACATCAGCGGCCCGCTACACCATTTCTGCGACGCGTTTCGACTGCACGCATGCGCTGCCATGCCGCGAGGCATGCGCAGATTCCGTCCCACCATCGGCGTGATATGGGGTCTCCTTGCCTTGCTCCACGCAAAGTCACGTCGTGTCCATGCCTCGACATCCAATCACCTGTCGGCCGCACTTCGTGAGCACGCAACCGGCTGGAAAAGTCGTCAATCCCTTCCCGTAATCGCTCGCCAGTCTTCAACGTGAGACAAACGCCAGGAGATCTTCATCGCTTTCTCAGATCAAATGTCTCGGTGAATCTAGAAAAACACGGAGAATCCTCCTCCGAGGTATACAAATAGGCAGCCACATAGGTTCATGTGCTCGGAGTGCGGCGCCGAGGAAAGCCGCATTCGCAATTGTACTTGATATTAACCCAACAAAGCTTTAGTATTTCATATAGTAACAGTAAAAACAAGCACAACATCACTAGCTTAACCCGGTTCTGCTTGTCAAGTCATGCGTTTGATTAGAGAGATTTAGCTAGCACTACTGCTGATTCTGGAATGTAACATCTACTCTTCCGCATCATTGGCGCCTCCCTCGTCATCTTCCTTGATTCCTGTGCTTTGGCGCTTCATGCTGCTCGCCAGGAACTGCGGCACCCATGGAAAGATGCCTTTCGAAAGCGTTCCTTCTAGCTCGCGGTCGATGTCACTGTCATCCATTCCCAGCCTTCGGAGACTCTCTGCACAGAATTTGAGCAATTTTGACCCCGGAACATGTCGCTCCCCGTCAGTGGTGAGTGATGAATGTTCTTTTGCTTCTTGCAAAACCTTCCGGTAGATTATACCGAGCAAACGGAAGCTAAGCGGAAGTCGATATCCCCTGAGGGATATGTTTGAGCCCACATCAATCACTTCCGGTGCAGAAAAGGACAGAATTCTAGAACGGGTCGATTCCACCTTGGACAGTCGCCACACACCTCCCGAGAAGGGGGTAAATATGGTCTGTTCGGCATTTCGACACCACTTCTTCAACATTCCTGCGGCTTTGAAGCTTCCATGAGCTCCAGCGACGCCTTCCAGAATCCGGGCAAAATCGTCTTCGAGGACCATCTCTTCAATTCTTCCAGTCAGCTCATCGGGTAAATAATTCGAGCAAAACGGGTGCCACTCCGGCCCAATGCTTAACAAGACGCAAAGCATGCCATGAATTCTGTTGATTGTTGCAGCTCGTCCTGGGTCGTAACCTCTTTCGAGTATGAAATTAAACAGTGACTCCGCTGGACCCAATGCCGTCTTCTTTTTAGAATCTTTTTCTACCGCATCTTGCTGCCGCAGAATGACCATTTGCTTTGCCAGCATCGACACATGTTTAGCGTCTAAGGCATAGCCAGGATCGGCAGCTAGAGTCTTGAAGGCATTGACTACGGAGTTCCAGCGATGCTGCTTGATCTGGCTCTCCACCATTGCGTTCAAGACCTCAAACGTCATTGATCTCATCTCCGCTCCATCTTGGTCCACAGAAATTATCTTGTTGAGGAGCTGCTTGTCTTGAGCCTCGCTGGCAAATCGGATCAAAGCTGGCGTAATGGAGCTATCATGGTACATTTCCTCGGTGATTAAAGGACCATCAAGGTCCTCGGAGTATAGCAGCCATCTTCCAAAGTCAAACGCTCCCGAATTTGTTGCGACATCTAGGACCGGACCCAAGATGTACGTCGGTACGTGCGGAAAAGCAGTAGACAAGTCTTCTCCAAAAAGATTGCTGTTGAAAATTTGTGGATAGCCATCTGTGTTTTCACTTGGCGAATTCAGCTGCTTGAAAAACTGTTGCAAGGATCGCCTTTTAGTCTGATCGGTCAAAAGTTGTAGCTCTTCAAAGGTTTTTAAAGAGGCCGCGGCGTCCCCTCGGCGCACGTAGAGGCGTATAATGTTGTGCAAAGTGCCAACGGCGATCGCCGAACCTTCAGTGATGTAGGATGGTGCATCCGGTAGGTTATGACGTGGTAACGGCGCGTTGAGATATTCACTTTCCTTGCCGTGTAGCGGGATGAGATGCAAAGATTCCCGTACGAGGGAAGGTTCTCTCCAAATATCGAACCCCCCAGATTCCAACAAACGAACGACTACGGACTCCCATGACATCGAACCAAGGCCTAATTTGCGACGGTGCAAGAAGGCCTTGAATCTGCTGATTAAACGCAGAGCTTCCTCAGGCGCAAGTCCCCGAGAACCGATTCCAGTATGGACATTGTCAACACATGCATCGACAAAAGCTGTAACTAGTTCGCTGGATATAGTTCTTTGGACCCTCAAGCGGTCGGACGAACCCGCTTGAGTCCCTCGAAGTTGTTCGAGCAGCTTGACATCATCCCATTTGATGCTCCGAGATTCCGATTCGCCTTCGGTTGTGTCGCGTCGTAAAATCGACCATTGCTGTTCCCCTTTGTAGCTGGTCACTTTTTCGAGAATGGCAGCGCCTTGCCCAATCCACCCGCCATGTAAGCATGACCATAGCACGAATTCAAGCCAAATTTCAGGGCCTAACTCTGGCGTGTGCATCTTGTAACGAGGACCCGGCCTCTCCGGGCCAAGCAATGTATAATGCGCTTGTGTTTTGGACTCGGAGGCCGCGGCGGCCTCATAGGCTCTCCAGGATGCATCTGATAACGCCGCCATGATTTTTGATGACAGCAGATACAGAGTAGGTGGTTGTTGAGGGGCGAGAGGATCGGCCGCTGACTCGTGACGGTATACAGACTCTGGAATAATTCCAGCGTGGTGCAGGTAGGCGATCAGCTCTAGGACGTGCGACATGATCAAGTGGGAGGTTGCTGGACAATCGTTTGCAACAATCAAAATCATGTTTGCTAAACTCTTCCATATCTGGCCAAGCGCGCCCTTGCGGTAATGGAACCCATCATCGGACATGCTTTTGTAGTCGTTTAGTTGGTCCATAGAGTACCGCAGAGGCCCAACTGTGTCTTTTCCCTGTGCCACGATCGCATTTTCCGTAGCTTCGTCTAAGTCATAAGATACACCGGGCCAACTGACGGATGAGAATGGATCGATCTCCTCGAGCCTTCCCATAGGGGAGATTTCGATTTCTACTACAGTCTTCACAATCCACATTACGGCATTCCATCTTCCCTGTTGTATCCCAAGGTGGGTTAGGAAATCTACAGACGACAACTTGCGAGATTTTGACAAGAATGCCGCTATGTCTACCGCATACTCTTCCTTGCTCTTTTTTAACCGTGTGTCATGGCGACTTGTATCCGCCGCCTGAAGGTGGACTGGCAGAAGGGGTTCAAGTTTCGCGATCCAGGCTTGCGGGTCTTCTCGAGTATCCGGTCCGGGAGGGCGAAGTTGGTAGGCCGCAGCCGGCCTATTCCTAGTCGCTTTTGAGCATCCCTGACCATCACGAGGCGCTGATGCAGGGTGTCGACTGCTTCCAGAAAGTTGTCTCCTTGGTGGCGATGGGTGAACAGCGGGCGCAAGCCATGCTGCTACCGTAAATGCGCCAGACGTCGATGCACGATGTTGTCGAAAGGTTCGACTGAGAGCATTGTGGAAATTTGTGTGCATCGAGCGCGTCGATGGGAGAGGATGGATGGATGAGGGGGCGTTGAGGCCAACTCGCGCGGGTTGCGCGTTGCAAAAATATCGGCGCGCGGGATGACGTTGCGACTCGCGACAAGGGTCCCCGTGTCTGCCTCGCGTTGCAGCCTACTCCGGAGCTTCCTTTTTAACAACGGTCGCGCAAACAACTTTCACCCTCTTTCTCTCCCTCTCCCAACCACGACAAGAGATTTCTTCTAAGCCACAGAAGCTTCTTTGCGGCGTTTTTCGCTCACGTTGCAATCCGCTTGAGGTGAGCCACCCAATCGCACCCCCTCAGCATTCCGCGTCATGTCCAGTCAACTTCACATCAACCGCGTTGGACCTCTCCGCTAACCTCTTTTGTCAACTAGGGTACTCAAGATCGCGATCATGCCTACTTCCTATCGCATCGGTAAGTCGTTCATTCTTTGTTTCTCTACCTTGGGCTTGCCCGCACCCATTTCGCATCTTACCGGCCTGCATAATATGTCTGTAGCACATTAACCCCTTTACCATCTTGACCCGAGCTGCGCGTGCATGCCTAAGAGATCTTCCACTGTCAAGAAACATCACGTTTCATTTCAAAAAATATTTTTTATCGCCTAAAAGTGGACGAGACCAGTTTGATGTACCACTTCTTTTGATGTTTTGACTGACAACCTCATAGAAAGATCCCCCAACAATCGTGCCGGCTGCAAGAATGCAGAGTGTAAGAATGCAGGCGTGAAGATCACCAAGGGCGAGCTCCGGTTCGCTACTCTAGTCACCATCAAGGAGAATACGTCTTGGCAGTACAAGCACTGGTATGTTGCAGGAAAGTAACCAAGATTGAACAACAGCTGACTGTACCAGGGGATGCGTCACGCCCCAAGTCATCCAGCATGTCAAGGATCACATTGAGGGCGACTTTGAGCTGATTGAGAACTGGGAGGAGCTCTCGGGAGAGGACCAAGAGAAGGTCAAGGCTGCTATCGAGAATGGCCATATTGATGACGAAGACTGGAAAGGCGTACGTTATGCTCAACATGCATTCAAGCACTTTGTTGATCACATTTGCAGGATGCCGAACTCAACCGCCCCGGTAAGAAGGGCTTCCGCCTCAAGGTCCCCAAAGCGAAGAAGGGCAAGGAAGATGATGAGCCTGGATCCGAGAACGAAAAATCTACCACCAAGAAGCGTTCTCGACCCACAAAGGACGAAGATGTCGACGAGGAAAAAGTTCCCGCTCCTAAGAAGGCCAGGAGCAAAAAGGTTGCTAAGGCTAAGGTCGAGAGCGATGTCGATGAAGAAGAGGTGCCTGCCCCAAAAAGCTCGAGGGCCAGAAAGGCTACCAAGAACCAGGAGGAAGGCAACGTTGTTGATGGGGAAAAGGCGCCTCCCAAGCCCAAGAAAGGCAGAGCTCCGAAAAAGCAAACCAAGAAGGGAGCTGCTCAGGAGAACACAGAAGAAGCAGCCGCTGCCCTTGAAGAAGCGGTTGCTGCCCCTGAAGAAGCGGTTGCTGCCCCTGAAGAAGC